CCCGTACACGCTGATCATGCCGCCTCTGTCCCCTCTCCTGCAGCTGCCCAGGCCCCGCTCGCTCAGTCCTTCCCCATCCCGTGGCTGCTCCAGCCCCTTCATCATCTTCGTGGCCCTGCGCTGGCCCCTCTCCAGCAGCTCCAGGTCCCTCTTGTCCTGGGGAGCCCAGAGCTGCCCCCAGTGCTCCAGGTGCCTCCCAGGGCTGAGCAGAGGGGCAGGATCCCTCCCTCGCCCGCTGGCAACGCTCCCGATGCAGCCAGGAGCCCATGGGCCTCCTTGGCCACAAGGGCTCGTTGCTGCCTCACGGGGAACCTGGTGCCACCCAGGACTCCCAAATCCCTCTCACGGAGCTGCTTTCCAGCAGGGCAACCCCTAATCCGTGCTGGTGCCCTTCTTCCCTGGCTGAGGAGCAGAGGAGGGAATGGAGCTGGAGCCGATAATCGCACCCGCGCGAGAGGCGTTTGCCGTTTCATTGGGAGCTGCGCTAGCCGGCGTGCTCGGAGGCTTCCCGTGCTCCCGACCTACCAGCCCGTATTTAGGCACTCAGGAATTATCCCAAACACATCCCTCTTACACTGATTGGTTAGTAATTTATATATAATTATATTACTTCCTCATCATGTCCACTATTACATATGCTCAAGGGAAGGGTTTTCACCTGGATGAGGATCCTTTTGACCTACGGGCATTATTTTTAGCATTATAATGAAGGCAGTCCGCTTAAGGATGCAGACCTTTGATTTTCCTGCAAATTTTTAAATGTGTTAAAAAAAAAATCTGATTTTAATGAACAGCTCCAGGTTGTCCTTGGTTAAGGCACACCAACTGACTGCTCTGTCTGCTTGACTGTAACGTTCCCTCCCATCCCGCCACGGCGTTCCCACGTTGTGCTTCGTTCTCAACAAGCGGAATCACCACAATCCTGCAGCGCCGCTTCCCGCTGCCTCCCGCTCCCGCCGCCTCCATCCGGCTGCTCCGCGGCTGCAGGGACAGGTCGGTGGCACCGGTGCCGCCGGTGGCAGCGGTGCAGGAAGAGCAGAGCCCACGGAGCAGGGGCGGCAGCTCCCGCTCTGCCTCCCGGCTCCTGAGGCGCCTCTTCCTCTTCTCCCTTTTTCCTTCCCTCTCCCTCACTCTTCCTCCTGCCCTTCCTCCTCCCGACCTTCCTCTCCCTCCTCCCAGCGCCGCTGCCCTTACTCCTGCCCCGGCCCCGCTGCTCCCTTGGGGTGTCCTCATGCGGCAGGACCTCCATG